GCTGCCAGGCCCGTAATCTGCCATGGGCCCCCGTACCGCCTCCTCATGCTGCTGCCAGGTCCAGAGTGTCTCATGGGTCCCTGTACGGCCTCCCATTGCTGCTGTCTCCATCGCCACACTCTGCCATGTGCCACACTTCAGGTCTCCTCACACTGCTGCTGGTGGGTTCCATTTTTGTCATAGGGTGCTGGCAGATTACGGGCCTCCCATTGCTGCTGCTGCCAGGCCCGTAATCTGCCAGGCCCCCGTAATCTGCCCATGGGGCCCCTGTACCCTCCTCCTCATGCTGCTGCCAGGTCCAGAGTGTCTCATGGGTCCCTGTACGGCCTCCCATTGCTGCTGTCTCCATCGCCACCATCGCCACACTCTGCCATGTGCCACTTTCAGGTCTCCTCACACTGCTGGTGGGTTCCATTTTGTCATAGGGTGCTGGCAGATTACGGGCCTCCCATTGCTGCTGCCAGGCCCGTAATCTGCCATGGGCCCCTGTACCGCCTCCTCATGCTGCTGCCAGGTCCAGAGTGTCTCATGGGTCCCTGTACGGCCTCCCTCCCATTGCTGCTGTCTCCATCGCCACACACTCTGCCATGTGCCACTTTCAGGTCTCCTCACACTGCTGGTGGGTTCCATTTTTTGTCATAGGGTGCTGGCAGATTACGGGCCTCCCATTGCTGCTGCTGCCAGGCCCGTAATCTGCCATGGGCCCCCCCGTACCATGGGCCCCCTCCTCCCTCATGCTGCTGCCAGGTCCAGAGTGTCTCATGGGTCCCTGTACGGCCTCCCATTGCTGCTGTCTCTGCCATGCCACACTCTGCCATGTGCCACTTTCAGGTCTCCTCACACTGCTGTGGGGTTCCATTTTGTCATAGGGTGCTGGCAGATTACGGGCCTCCCATTGCTGCTGCCAGGCCCGTAATCTGCCATGGGCCCCTGTACCGCCTCCTCATGCTGCTGCCAGGTCCAGAGTGTCTCATGGGTCCCTGTACGGCCTCCCATTGCTGCTGTCTCCATCGCCACACTCTGCCATGTGCCACTTTCAGGTCTCCTCACACACACTGCTGGTGGGTTCCATTTTGTCATAGGGTGCTGGCAGATTACGGGCCTCCCATTGCTGCTGCTGCCCTGCCAGGCCCGTAATCTGCCATGGGCCCCCGTACCGCCTCCTCATGCTGCTGCCAGGTCCAGAGTCTCTCATGGGTCCCTGTACGGCCCTCCCATTGCTGCTGTCTCCATCGCCACACTCTGCCATGGCCACTTTCAGGTCTCCTCACACTGCTGGTGGGTTCCATTTTGTCATATAGGTGTGCTGGCAGATTACGGGCCCTCCCATTGCTGCTGCCAGGCCCGTAATCTGCCATGGGCCCCCGTACGCCTCCGCCTGCCAGGCCCTCATGCTGCTGCTGCCCAGCTGTCCAGGTCCAGAGTGTGTCTCATGGGTCCCTGTACGGCCTCCCATTGCTGCTGTCTCCATCGCCACACTCTGCCATGTGCCACTTTCAGGTCTCCTCACACTGCTGGTGGGTTCCATTTTGTCATAGGGTGCTGGCAGATTACGGGCCTCCCATTGCTGCTGCCAGGCCCGTAATCTGCCATGGGCCCCCGTACCGCCTCCTCATGCTGCTGCCAGGTCCAGAGTGTCTCATGGGTCCCTGTACGGCCTCCCATGCTGCTGCTGTCTCCATCGCCACACACTCTGCCATGTGCCACTTTCAGGTCTCCTCACACTGCTGGTGGGTTCCATTTTGTCATAGGTGCTGGCAGATTACGGGCCTCCCATTGCTGCTGCTGCCAGGCCCGTAATCTGCCATGGGCCCCCCCGTACCGCCTCCTCATGCTGCTGCTGCCAGGTGGGCCCCAGAGTGTCTCATGGGTCCCTGTACGGCCTCCCATTGCTGCTGTCTCCATCGCCACACTCTGCCATGTGCCACTTTCAGGTCTCCTCACACTGCTGGTGGGTTCCATTTTGTCATAGGGTGCTGGCAGATTACGGGCCTCCCATTGCTGCTGCCAGGCCCGTAATCTGCCATGGGCCCCCCGTACCCGCCTCCTCATGCTGCTGCTGCCATGCTGCTGTCCAGAGTGTCTCATGGGTCCCTGTACGGCCTCCCATTGCTGCTGTCTCCATCGCCACACTCTGCCATGTGCCACTTTCAGGTCTCCTCACACTGCTGGTGGGTTCCATTTTGTCATAGGGTGCTGGCAGATTACGGGCCTCCCATTGCTGCTGCCAGGCCCGTAATCTGCCATGGGCCCCCGTACCTCCTCATGCCTGCCAGGTCCTCATGCTGCTGGGCCAGGTCCCAGAGTGTCCAGAGTGTCCCATGGGTCCCTGTACGGCCTCCCATTGCTGCTGTCTCCATCGCCACACTCTGCCATGTGCCACTTTCAGGTCTCCTCACACTGCTGGTGGGTTCCATTTTGTCATAGGGTGCTGGCAGATTACGGGCCTCCCATGCTGCTGCTGCCAGGCCCGTAATCTGCCATGGGCCCCTGTACCGCCCGCCTCCTCATGCTGCTGCTGCCAGGTCCAGAGTGTCTCATGGGTCCCTGTACGGCCTCCCCCATTGCTGCTGTCTCCATCGCCACACTCTGCCATGTGCCACTTTCAGGTCTCCTCACACTGCTGTGTGGTTCCATTTTGTCATAGGGTGCTGGCAGATTACGGGCCTCCCATTGCTGCTGCCAGGCCCGTAATCTGCCATGGGCCCCTGTACCCCTACCGCCTCCTCATGCTGCTGCTGCCAGGTCCAGTCCAGAGTGTCATGGGTCCCTGTACGGCCTCCCATTGCTGCTGTCTCCATCGCCCACACTCTGCCATGTGCCACTTTCAGGTCTCCTCACACTGCTGGTGGGTTCCATTTTGTCATAGGGTGCTGGCAGATTACGGGCCTCCCATTGCTGCTGCCAGGCCCGTAATCTGCCATGGGCCCCCGTACCGACTCCTCTGCTGCTGCCAGGCCCGTAATCTGCCATGGGCCCCTGTACCGCCTCCCTCATGCTGCTGCCAGGTCCAGTGTGTGGGTCCCTGTACGGCCTCCCATTGCTGCTGTCTCCATCGCCACACTCTGCCATGTGCCACTTTCAGGTCTCCTCACACTGCTGGTGGGTTCCATTTTGTCATAGGGTGCTGGCAGATTACGGGGCCTCCCATTGCTGCTGCCAGGCCCGTAATCTGCCATGGGCCCCCGTACCGCCTCCTCATGCTGCTGCCAGGCCCGTAATCTGTCATGGGCCCCTGTACGGCCTCCCATTGCTGCTGCCAGGTCCATCATGGGTCCCCACACTCTGCCATGTGCCACTTTGCCACTTTCAGGTCTCCTCACACTGCTGGTGGTTCCATTTTGTCATTGCTGTACGGGCCTCCCATAGGGCCCCCCAGGCCCGTAATCTGCATGGGCAGATTACGGGCCTCCCATGCTGCTGCTGCCAGGCCCGTAATCTGCCATGGGCCCCTGTACCGCCTCCTCCTCTGCTGCTGCCAGGTCCAGAGTGTGTCATGGGTCCCTGTACGGCCTCCCATTGCTGCTGTCTCCATCGCCACACTCTGCCATGTGCCACTTTCAGGTCTCCTCACACTGCTGGTGGGTTCCATTTTGTCATAGGGTGCTGGCAGATTACGGGCCTCCCATTGCTGCTGCCAGGCCCGTAATCTGCCATGGGGGCCCCCTGTACCGTAATCCTCCTCATGCTGCTGCTGCCAGTCCAGAGTGTCTCATGGGTCCCTGTACGGCCTCCCATTGCTGCTGTCTCCATCGCCACACTCTGCCATGTGCCACTTTCAGGTCTCCTCACACTGCTGGTGGGTTCCATTTTGTCATCATAGGGTGCTGGCAGATTACGGGCCTCCCATTGCTGCTGCCAGGCCCGTAATCTGCCATGGGCCCCCGTACCGACTCCTCATGCTGCTGCCAGGCCCGTAATCTGTCATGGGCCCCGTACCGCCTCCTCATGCTGCTGCCAGGTCCAGAGTGTCTCATGGGTCCCTGTACGGCCTCCCATTGCTGCTGTCTCCATCGCCACACACTCTGCCATGTGCCACTTTCAGGTCTCCTCACACACTGCTGGTGGGTTCCATTTTTTTGTCATAGGGTGCTGGCAGATTACGGGCCTCCCATTGCTGCTGCCAGGCCCGTAATCTGCCATGGGCCCCCGTACCGCCTCCTCATGCTGCTGCCAGGTCCAGAGTGTCTCATGGGTCCCTGTACGGCCTCCCATTGCTGCTGTACGGCCTCCATCGCCACACTCTGCCATGTGCCACTTTCAGGTCTCCTCACACTGCTGGTGGGTTCCATTTTGTCATAGGGTGCTGGCAGATTACGGGCCTCCCATTGCTGCTGCCAGGCCCGTAATCTGCCTGGGGGGCCCCCCCCTGTACCGCCTCCTCATGCTGCTGCCAGGTCCCAGAGTGTCTCATGGGTCCCTGTACGGCCTCCCATTGCTGCTGTCTCCATCGCCACACTCTGCCATGTGCCACTTTCAGGTCTCCTCACACTGCTGGTGGGTTCCATTTTGTCATAGGGTGCTGGCAGATTACGGGCCTCCCATTGCTGCTGCCAGGCCCCCGTAATCTGCCATGGGCCCCCCCGTACCGCCTCCTCATGCTGCTGCCAGGTCCAGAGTGTCTCATGGGTCCCTGTACGGCCTCCCATTGCTGCTGTCTCCATCGCCACACTCTGCCATGTGCCACTTTCAGGTCTCCTCACACTGCTGGTGGGTTCCATTTTGTTGTCATAGGGTGCTGGCAGATTACGGGGCCTCCCTTGCTGCTGCTGCCAGGCCCGTAATCTGCCATGGGCCCCCTGTACCGCCTCCTCATGCTGCTGCCAGGTCCAGAGTGTGTCATGGGTCCCTGTACGGCCTCCCATTGCTGCTGTCTCCATCGCCACACTCTGCCATGTGCCACTTTCAGGTCTCCTCACACTGCTGGTGGGTTCCATTTTGTCATAGGGTGCTGGCAGATTACGGGCCTCCCATTGCTGCTGCCAGGCCCGTAATCTGCCATGGGCCCCTGTACCGCCTCCTCATGCTGCTGCCAGGTCCAGAGTGTGTCATGGGTCCCTGTACGGCCTCCCATTGCTGCTGTCTCCATCGCCACACTCTGCCATGTGCCACTTTCAGGTCTCCTCACACTGCTGGTGGGTTCCATTTTTTGTCATAGGGTGCTGGCAGATTACGGGCCTCCCATTGCTGCTGCCAGGCCCGTAATCTGCCATGGGCCCCCGCGTACCGCCTCCTCATGCTGCTGCCAGGCCCGTAATCTGCCATGGGCCCCTGTACCACCTCCTCCTCATGCTGCTGCCAGGTCCAGGTCCAGAGTGTGTCATGGGTCCCTGTACGGCCTCCCATTGCTGCTGTCTCCATCGCCACACTCTGCCATGTGCCACTTTTCAGGTCTCCTCACACTGCTGGTGGGTTCCATTTTGTCATAGGGTGCTGGCAGATTACGGGCCTCCCATTGCTGCTGCTGCCAGGCCCGTAATCTGCCATGGGCCCCCGTACCGCCCCTCTCTGCTGCTGCCAGGCCCGTAATCTGTCATGGGCCCCTGTACCGCCTCCTCATGCTGCTGCCAGGTCCAGAGTGTGTCATGGGTCCCTGTACGGCCTCCCATTGCTGCTGTCTCCATCGCCACACTCTGCCATGTGCCACTTTCAGGTCTCCTCACACTGCTGGTGGGTTCCATTTTGTCATAGGGTGCTGGCAGATTACGGGCCTCCCATTGCTGCTGCCAGGCCCGTAATCTGCCATGGGCCCCCGTACCGCCTCCTCATGCTGCTGCCAGGCCCTGTAATCTGTCATGGGCCCCTGTACCGCCTCCTCATGCTGCTGCCAGGTCCAGAAGTGTGTCATGGGTCCCTGTACGGCCTCCCATTGCTGCTGTCTCCATCGCCACACTCTGCCATGTGCCACTTTCAGGTCTCCTCACACTGCTGGTGGGTTCATTTTGTCATAGGGTGCTGCAGATTATGGCCTCCCATTGCTGCTGCCAGGCCCCTAATCTGCCATGGGCCCCCGTACCGCCTCCTCATGCTGCTGCCAGGCCCGTAATCTGTCATGGGCCCCTGTACCGCCTCCTCATGCTGCTGCCAGGTCCAGAGTGTGTCATGGGTCCCTGTACGGCCTCCCATTGCTGCTGTCTCCATCGCCACACTCTGCCATGTGCCACTTTCAGGTCTCCTCACACTGCTGGTGGGTTCCATTTTGTCATAGGGTGCTGCTGATTACGGGCCTCCCATTGCTGCTGCCAGGCCCCTAATCTGCCATGGGCCCCCGTACCGCCTCCTCATGCTGCTGCCAGGCCCCCGTAATCTGTCATGGGCCCCTGTACCGCCTCCTCATGCTGCTGCCAGGTCCAGAGTGTGTCATGGGTCCCTGTACCGCCTCCCATTGCTGCCACTTTGCACTGCTGGTGGGTTCCATTTTGTCATAGGGTGCTGCCATGGGCCCCCGGGCCTCCCATGCTGCTGCTGCCAGGCCCGTAATCTGTCATGGGCCCCTGTGTACCGCCTCCTCATGCTGCTGCCAGGTCCAGAGTGTGTCATGGGTCCCTGTACGGCCTCCCATTGCTGCTGTCTCCATCGCCACACTCTGCCATGTGCCACTTTCAGGTCTCCTCACACTGCTGGTGGGTTCCATTTTGTCATAGGGTGCTGGCAGATTACGGGCCTCCCATTGCTGCTGCCGGGCCCGTAATCTGCCATGGGCCCCTGTACCGCCTCCTCATGCTGCTGCCAGGTCCAGAGTGTCATGGGTCCCCTGGGTCCCTGTACCTCCCATTGCTGCTGTCTCTCCATCGCCTCGCCACTCTGCCATGTGCCACACTTTCAGGTCTCCTCACACACTGCTTGGGTTCCATTTTGTCATAGGGTGCTGGCAGATTACGGGCCTCCCATTGCTGCTGCCAGGCCCGTAATCTGCCATGGGCCCCTGTACCGCCTCCTCATGCCTGCCCTCATGCTGCTGGGCCAGGTCCAGAGTGTGTCATGGGTCCCTGTACCAGGCCTCCCATTGCTGCTGCCAGGCCCCTAATCTGCCATGGGCCCCCGTACCGCCTCCTCATGCTGCTGCCAGGGCCCGTAATCTGTCATGGGCCCCTGTACCGCCTCCTCATGCTGCTGCCAGGTCCAGAGTGTGTCATGGGTCCCTGTACGGCCTCCCATTGCTGCTGTCTCCATCGCCACACTCTGCCATGTGCCACTTTCAGGTCTCCTCACACTGCTGGTGGGTTCCATTTTGTCATAGGGTGCTGGCAGATTACGGGCCTCCCATTGCTGCTGCCAGGCCCGTAATCTGCCATGGGCCCCCGTACCGACTCCTCATGCTGCTGCCAGGCCCGTAATCTGTCATGGGCCCCTGTACCGCCGCCTCCTCATGCTGCTGCCAGGTCCAGAGTGTGTCATGGGTCCCTGTACGGCCTCCCATTGCTGCTGTCTCCATCGCCACACTCTGCCATGTGCCACTTTCAGGTCTCCTCACACTGCTGGTGGGTTCCATTTTGTCATAGGGTGCTGGCAGATTACGGGCCTCCCATTGCTGCTGCCCGGGCCCGTAATCTGCCATGGGCCCCTGTACCGCCTCCTCATAATCTGCCCCTGCCCGCCTCCTCATGCTGCTGCCAGGTCCAGAGTGTGTCATGGGTCCCTGTACGGCCTCCCATTGCTGCTGTCTCCATCGCCACACTCTGCCATGTGCCACTTTCAGGTCTCCTCACACTGCTGGTCGGTTCCATTTTGTCATAGGGTGCTGTATGGCCTCCCATTGCTGCTGCCTCCACCGCCACACTGTGGCTCCACACGTTTAGGCCCCGTGACTGCCCAAATGAGTTAAGTGTGCGGTGATTCTAAGATCGACGGCACTCATCTGCATGTCATACTGACTGACAGTATTATTTCTCTTCCCCAGCAGACTCCAAGGGCATTTAAATTAAAGGTACAGTGTTCTGCACTAATATAAAGGCTCTCTGAAGCCTAGAAACACCCTTTTTATAAGTTAAATTCGCAGCGAATATATTCGACTCGAATCTAATTTATTCCTCGAATTCGCCGAATCAGCCGAATCGAATTTTTGAATACTTCGCTCATCTCTAATTGGCATCATAAAGCTGGATCTGTCAGGTCTCATTGGACCCGGAACTAGGCAGGCATCATGGAATGTGAGTTTAATCAGCCAAAGTTCAAGGAACCCCTAGCAGCCTCTCAAGGAGCCCTAGTTGAGAATGACTGATATGAAATAATAATCGTATTATATGTGTTGCCAAGAGGGCTAACACTACTTCTGATGTATCCCTGATTATTGCTGCCTCTCTTATTCTCTAACAAGCATTTTATTTCTTTTTATTGCAGTTCTGAGGACGGTGATGACAAAGCAGCACATGCTAAACAAAAAGACAATATCCGTGTACCCATATTACCCATCCATTGGTCACTGCTTGTATGGGAAGGAAGGCCCTCATATGGAAATACCTGATTCCGTAGAAATCCCCATCAGTCCACATATACTGGCATTCATTTTGAACGATGAACAGATAAAACTAAATGTTGAAAAAGAAATGTCAGATGTTTACTGTGATATCACTTGGCCAAATGTAGACCACCCCACTCCTGTCATCAAACTGTCTTTACCCAGGAACCTCTCCATTCATCTCCGAACCTTGGCAAAGATAGTTCCATCATGGAGCGATAACGTCCACAAAAAGTTTAAACCTTTTATTTTGAAGTATAAGGCTGCAGAGTGTGACCTGAAGCCACCGGTGTGGGAAGAGATCAAAGAAAAGATGTCTAGCTCATCATATGGTGGAGCCCTCATAAAACCCGACTTAGTTGCAGAGAAGGCTTTCATTGTGGGTATTTTAGAAGATGTTACAAAGATTGAGCCAATGTTTAGAAAACTGGTAGAAGAAGCCACTAAACAACTGAGCAGAGTGGAAGAGCATGTGCCTCTTAGACCTGAAGCTTATAAATTAATGTTCGCACATGGTCTGGAGAAAAACATCCTGAAAGATTGTCCACATGTGCAGATTAGTTATGATGGAACTTCTAAGGGAGTTAAACTTTACGGACCAAGAGATGAAGTTCTCACTGCTAAATCCAAAATTCTAAATATTATGCAAGACCTAAAGTACAAATTCATCCAGCTAGATGCACACATCATCAAGTTTCTGAAGGCAGTGGACAATGAAGAATTGTCATGTAGTCTTCTTATAAAAAACAACATAAAAGCATTTTTTCAGATGAAAGATAATGCAGTCATGTTAACTGGTTACTCCGATAAAGATCTGAGAAATGGTGAAGAAACTGTGAAGAAGGAATTGGTCTGTAAGCGGATTTCTGTTGAGGATAAAAGCATCACTCAGAGTCCGGAGTGGGGAAATCTGAAGAGCTTCCTACAGGAGATGTTTAATATTGATGGGATGAAGGTTTCCATAGAGGAGTTCCCTGTGAGGGATGGAGTTGAAATGGTGATCACTGGTCTTTCCTCACCTGCAGAAGAATCCTACCAGCGAATCCATGACTTTGTGGAGAAGAACACTTTGGTGGAGAAGGACATCAAGCTGAAGTCAGTGGCGGTGTTGCAGTTTATGGAGGAAAAAAGAACGCAGGAATGGAATGAAATAATACGGAATGTGAAGGTTGTGAAGAAACAGAACTTCATCTCCTTGTCTGGCCCAAAGTTCTATGTAGAAGAGGCAAGAAACAGCATAATACAAATTATTTCCAAAATGTATTCTGACACCTTATACATTGATAAGCCCGGGGTCAAAAAATCCTTTTTTGAAAATGAAGATATGTATGTTACTACAGTATGGAACAATCACAAATGTGTGATACAACTACAGAAGGAGGTCGATGACAGAATTTCCAATCGAAATGAGCTCCATTGCCAAGTCAGCCTCCAGAATGGAGCCACAATGGTTATATATAAAGGTGATCTGTGCCAACACAATGCTGATGTCATCATAATTGCCTCTAATAAGAATTTAAAGCCAACTGGGGGATCAGCGCTGGCTTTGGTGAAAGCAGCAGGACCCAGTCTTCAGAAAGAATGTGAACACATTGTTCAAAAGGAAGGAGAGCTGGAGCCGGGAGAGTGTGTCATAACAGATGTGAGTAATTTATCATGTAAGAAGGTAATTCATGCAATTGGTCCAAAACTGGATAAAAAAGAAAATTCAAAATGTGAACGTCTTCTATGGAAAGTGATAACAGAGAGCTTGGTGATGGCTGCAGATAATGGTCAAAGCTCTGTTGCACTTTCTGTTGGTGATTTCATTATTTCTGGGTGTCCTTTGGACCGTTGTGCCCAAAACATTGTAAAATCCATAAAATCATACACAGAAAGCCAAGAAGGCTTCAACACCATCAAAAACATCCATCTCGTAGACAGTGATGAAGGCATTCTAAAGACTATCACTGAAATAGTGAATGAAGAGTTTGAAGGAAAACATGTCCAAGTTCCTTCGAAACATGGCATGAAAATCCAGAAGAAGAAGAAGAAGAAGAGGGAGGAAATTATGAACAAAGTCAATGATCAAATGGTGACCACCAAGGAAGGGTTGAACATCAATATAAAACAAGGAAATATTGAAGATGCGACGGTAAGTTCTATTCAGTTCAGGTTTTCTCATCATAGTAAACATATAAGGTAACAAAATATTAATCTCTGTAATGATATAGATGGCTGTACGTAGGTTGAACTGTAACTAAATCTTCAATGGGGCCACATTATGTCTGCTGAGGGCCACACCTGATTAAATCCAGTAAAAGATTATGGCACTTTGAAACCTAAAGCTGTTTTCCAGGTATGACAATTTGTACATAGGTAAATTGGTCCAGCTTGGACCAATGTATGTATGTGCCAAACGTATGGGATCCCCGTTGAAGCTGGAAGTCGGTGTATTAGGTTGAATATAAATTTATTTGCATTTTCAAAACAAGAAAAAGGGCAATGACTCTACAACACAA